CTAATTTGGTCAACTGGGTCCTTTAACCTACAGAGCTTGTCCTACCTGAGTGAGTTTGTAGGTTTAAATACCACAATGCCAAAATAAAAATAAAAGTAATTGTGAAACTAGTAATAATAATATAAACAAGAGAGAATATAAGTCATCTACAGTTATACCATATAAAGAGGGGATATCTGAGACCTTACGTAGGATTCTAAATCAAGCAGGAATTAGGGTGATGGCATTCAAACCTACAAACTCACTCAGGTAGGACAAGCTCTGTAGGTTAAGAAACCCAATTAAACAAAATAATATAATTTACAAAATATCCAGAAATGACTGTGAGTTAGGTCAACTACATACGTCAAACTAGTAGGTCAGGTGTAGTCAGATTGTCAGAACATAAGAATTTAGCCAAGGTAAGATTGGTTGATCCCGAGAAGATAAGTAAGCTCAGCAATTGCACTGCATGCATTAACACACAACTGCACAACAGCATGGTGGGAGACGGTTACGATTCTAAAAAGTAATCTAGGTAGGTGGGAATGGAGAGAGGTTGATTACTGAATCCTTGTTCATCGAATCTACACCCAACACATGCAATGGGAATGTTTGATCACTCATATCCGAAATATGGAAAATACTAACACTACCAATCAAACCAAGCGAAAATCAAGTGGAAAACAATGGAACTATATAAATGAATTTAGGAAGTCGTGTGATTACCTTGATATGATTATGAGTGGCAATATATTGTGCTTGAAACGTGGTCATCAGTAAACATTACTGTATAACACAACACTGTGCGACTTTATCAAAACAAAATTTACCCATTATGGAATTACACTCTACCACCACAGTGCACAAGTTTTATTCTTATATCAATATTTTGCTTCTACCTGTAATTACACACACACACATGTGTGGGTGCGTGCGTGTGTATGTGTGAAAAGTGTGCTAAATTCACTTGAGCTGATTTACGCATTACACTATTATTATTATTGTTATTTTACTGTGTGAGATTATAAAGAAGAAGAAAAAGCGTGTTGAGTAGTAGTAGTAGTAGTAGTTGATTTTGTCATCGATTATTATGATATTATTATTACTAATTTATCGATCTATTCCAGGTCATTAGTTTTTGTGTTTTCCTTTTGTAAAATTCTCTTCGGTGCGCACGCATACATGCAAAAAGAGTTTATAAGAGTTCTTCTTCTTCTTCTGTTTATGTCTTATATCTGTTGCGCTCTTTTGCCTGTCTTCTCTTCTTTTTTTGTATTCTACAACAAAAAAAACGATTTTAAGTGAGCACAGTTTGTTGTTGTTGTTGTTGTTATTGATCACTGGGGTAGTTCTCTCTCTCTCTCTTAAAATCTGTACACTGTGCATGCATGCATGTTCTCGTAATTTTATAGGGAAACACACCAATCGATTAGATATACAGATATATCCACGGTATGTATGTTGTATGCTTGTATGCGTAGATCTTGAAGATTATTCATTGATTATTATTATTATTGATTTTGTTTTTCAGGGGTGTGGTGTGTGTGAAAGCGGTTGTCGTTTAATGAGAAGTGTATTGAATATAGATCACAATTGAAATTGATCGCTTTATCGAACCATTCTTTCAATATATATATATATATATATATATATATATATATATATATTTAAGTATTGGTTTGGTAGGGATTTTGTTTAATTGTATGGAGGATTTCATCATGAGCTGACATCAGTAAGAGAACCACTGGAAAACCAACCAGGGAGTACTGGACAGCTGTTTCGTCCTAGTTTGGGACTCTTCAGAAGTACGCCCCCACCGGGATTCGAACCCAGGCCCTTCTGATTACAAGGCGAGCTCGTAGACCATTGAGCCACTGGGACCCGATCCATTCAAAAATGCAACACACAAGCTGGATGGAATGCATGACATGACATCCACTCTCTCGCTCATATCGCCCCACTGCATACAGATAACTACGGACATCAATTAGACTGCGACAACCAACGTTCAAATATTAGACAGAGGAAACAACAAGAATGCTAGGGAATGTTTAGAAGCTTGGCATTCCAGTGAATCATCAATCAATAGATAGACACATCGAGATAGATAAAATTTATCAACCAATAAGAAAGAAACCAAACACACAAAGGGTCAAAGTTCAAGTCAAAGAAACAATACCAGTTCCAATAAAAGTAGCCGCCTACAGGGGGTGTGAAAACACACAAAAACAACCAATCACGTTCAAGGTGGTCACCGACAAGGAGAGATGATTTATGGTGAACTCGTGGAGGAGAAATCTAAAAGCTCACTTCAACAACTGAAATTGAAGTGTATGCGCTGAAGGAAGATGTCGCCTGCCTAGTAGTAGGGCGATGAAAGCTTCGCAAATTAACCATCCAGCCAGCTCAGAGAACATAACACCACTCCAAAATTATCCACTTGAGCTACAAATCTTCTCCATCATATCCTGTATCCCTTTTCCTATTTCCTTTCTTAATCGGTTGTTAATTACGTTATCGTAATATTAACGGTAATCGAGTTTTTTTATTCCTTCACGTTCCCAGTGGAACATAGGGTTCAAGCTAGTGGCTTGAAGTTTCTGTAGCAATGTTCATTTTACAGGATGGGGTTGCTAGCCTCATGCCCAACCTTTCCTCTTTACAAGCGTTTTTTTCTGGCTTAGCGAGGTAAAGGAGTTTGTCGGTGGCCGGGGATCGAACCCGGTACCATATGCTTGGTCGGCGAGCGTCCTAACCGCTATGCCACCGACGTATTTGTGTATATACTCAGTCTTAAGTTTTCATTTGGAACTGATAGGCAAAAGAGATATTTTACAAGTGTTTTGTTTCACCAGTTTTTCATTGCTTTTTTCAAGATCCCTTTTGTTACAACTTCAGATGTCTGTTATAGTGTTCACATAAAGACTTGAGTTATTTGTACGTGATCTCGCTCGCTTGCTCAATATCATAGTGTGTGATGGTGTTCGGTGGTCCGTCCTCCTCAATGGCCAGCTGTGAGCGAGACGTGCCCATTTAGAGTGGAAGACATGAACAGGTTGCCTAGCTGTCTACGATCATAGGTGCCTGCGTTCTATCTCCCATGTAAACTGGTATAATAAGGTGAGCAATATTGAGGTGAGGCGTCCAGTGAGTGCAAGGTAGGTGGGAGAGGAAATCAATCGACGAGGTTGTGAAGCAGTTAGGACATGTGTTACGTATGCCTAGCCCATCATCGACTTCCTTGACAATGGGCAATGTTACCTGACATAGTGTCACGCTGGAAGATAGCTAGCGGTGGTCAAAGCACCAGACAATGAAATCCACAACAGTTAGTGTAAGCCAGCCAGCCACGTAGGAAGGTGTAGACTGGCTTCCTGACTGGAGGGATGATTAGTGGTGAACTCGTGGAGAAATCTAAAAGTTCACTTCATTTGAAGTGTATGCGCTGTAGGAAGATGTCGCCTGCTTAGTAGTAGTAGGGCAACAATGAAATCTTCGCAAATTAACTATCCAGCTAGTCAGAAAAGACAACCACATCAAAAGGAGAGGCCTAAGCACAAAATTGAAATGAAGAGATGCGTTTAAAAAAACGCACAGCTTAAGAAAGCATTGGAAAGACAATATTCTTCTTTTCTTCCCTTGCTTTCTGAGTAGAGCTTAGGGATGATGGGATTGCTAGTTTCATACACACGCCCAATCTTCCCTCGTTTCCAGGTTTACTAAACTGCGTTAATAGGCTAGACAAGGTTTACGAGTGCGTTCGTAGTTAGTTAGTTAGTTGAACTTGGAGTGGAGAGTGTCTGCACAACTTGGGGGCATTCACATTCTGTGATTGAACGATGGACGACGACACCATGAGAAATAGTTAGTTTAGATGAAGATTATTTTTGCTTCTTCTTTCACAATGCAGGTTAAAAACGGATTGCATCTGCGCCATTTGTGTAGAATTTTGGATTGATTCCATAGACAGACAATCTGCGCATGGAAGTCCCGGTCGAGTATTTTATACCTCCCGCTCTCTCTCTCTCTCTTCCCATCAGCAGCCAAAGACTTCACATGAATTGATGACACGTGTGTTATGAACAAAATACTCGTTACTCTTTCTCAACCTAATCTTTCCGCTGTCATTATTTGTCGAGAAAAAATAAGGAACACACCTCTTAGTCACCATATAATCATCAACGTTACGATACCACTTCATTGACTGAAATTATCAGTTTATGGCTGTGAGCGAGACATGAAAAGCCTGGCTAGCTGTCTTTGATGATAGGTGCCTACGTTCTATCTCCCGTGTGAAGTGGCATAATATAGTGAGCAATATTGAGGTTAAGCATCCGCCGAGTGCTAGGTAAGTAGGAGGGGAAATCAATTGACGTGACTTTGGAGCTACATCGACTTAGATGGTTAGGACATGTGTTACGTATGCGTGGCCTAGTCATCACCTTCCTCGACAATGGTCAATGTTAGCTGACATAGGATTGGTCAGGCTAGAAAAGAGTTGGCGGCTGTCAAACCAAAATAGCAGTCATTGAAATCCACAACAGTTAGTTTAAGCCATCCAGCCAGTCAGCCACGTAGGAAGGTGTAGACTGGTTTCCTGACTGGTTGGGGTCCTCGGGATGACGGTAAAAACCAATGAAGGCTGGAAACTATTGGTGATATGGCGCGGATGCAACCAATCCTTGTGACTTATGATTTCCAATGAAACTGTTTTGTTCTTCGTTATTACTATTCCTTTGTCTCACACCTCTGTTTACTGTCTATATTATGCATTTCTTCTGTTGCTTTGTGTAGTACATGGAGTGGAGGGGGTGTGGCGACTTGAACTGCTGCACATGTGCAAGTCTATGTCGAAAACCGACCGACCGACCGCTTCACTATTACCACTGTTTTTTTTATAATGAAAATTTTTTTTTAGATCGGTGTATTGATTATAATTGTGTGTGTAAGCCTTTCTCACAGTCATATTATCTTCACTGTTTTTTTTTTGGTTAAAATATGCTTGTGTACCACTTAAGTTTTGACATACGATGAAAGTAGCCGTGATGACGTCGATGCAAAGGCAGCATTGGCTGAACTTGAAAAAATGCCACATATTGGTGTCTCAAAAGTTGGACAAACTGGTGTTGGTGCTGGTGGCATATTAGACAAAGTCGATGGAATCCGTACAGTCGGTGAATTAGGCGATGAAGCTGCATTGAATGATTCTCAACACACTGAAGGTGAGTCATTTTTTTTCATTGTGTACACTGAAGTGGATTTACTCACTCACTCACTCACTCACTCACTCACTCACTCACTCACTCACTCACTCACTCACTCACTCACTCACTCACTCACTCACTCACTCACTCACTCACTCACTCACTCACTCCCTGCCTGTCTGTCTCAATTAGTTTTGTTTTAAATAGTAATCGATGTTACCGAAAAACCCTTATTTTTTTTACCAAAGAAGGTTTATAGTTAGTTAGTGTGATGACGAATTGTTGCTGCTTTGAACGCATAAAGGTTGTTTGAACTTCTTAACTGCCAGCTAGGGCTAGCTTCCACAAAGTTTAGGTTACGCCCTCCCACAAACACGCTTTTATAGATAGATAGGTTTGAAAGATGTGTTAGTTAACGTCAATTTTATGTCCTGTCTCCTCTACAATATGTTTCGCAATAGAGGAGCTAGGTCTTCGTCTGTTCTCACCATTAATGGGTTCTGTAGATTCCATTTGTTTCTGGAGCCATTTAAGAATATGCTCTCATACCAGGCAGCCCTTACTTGCAGAATCGATGAGTCCTACCTATGTATGTTTGTGTGTATGTGTGGCCACACGTACATTCATATTGGTGAATACAGTGAGAGGATGTGACATCATTTTTCGCATGTTCAAAGGGCTTAGATGGGTGGATATATTGCCTTTACATTCTCAATTATTATGATATTAGCTGCATAAAATAGTCTTTTTAACCACAACGGCGTTCAATCTTTGTCTAGTTATCAAGCTGCTATGATGTCCCGCCTATACATGGGGTAGCTTGATGTACCCATCCTTCTTAGGGGCGAGTTGTAGACAGTTGGCCTTGGTCTTCCATTTGATTACTTTATATCTCCTGATGAACTTGTCTGGATAATTGTTATCAACCACAGTTTGTGTCAAATTTCTTTCTTCCTCATCATCAATTGTGTCTGTCTTTAGTGCATATTCGTTGGATTCTACTGAAGAGGCACCAAGCTCACTAAGGCTTTTTTCTACCGACTAGGACATAAACTGTGGTAATGAAGATACTGTCCTGTCCAGGTAGATTTTCTATAAATAAAAGAGCCTTAATAAGATGCAAACAATATCCTTTCCGATAAATTCCTCCTACCCTTCTCGCTCTACAATTATATCTATATATGCATGTTTATATACATAGAATATTCTAGATTAGTAGTCAATAACAATATTAGTGTGCTTTTTAAATAGTAATATCGATTTGTAAAGTAAGATCACAATGGAATCACCACAGTTCATTAAAGATGCTTGAATTATAATAATGATAATATAGATATAGATATAGTAGGAAATAGAATATCAACTAAAATTAGGAAAATTCCACAAAACTTCAGGATTGATCATTCAAAACTAGATGGCCAAGCGGGTAAGGATAATGTCTGAACCGACCAACTTCTTTTGGATGCACAAATTAGGCTTGTTAATATGGATCTCAACGGCCAACCAGCCTCAGCAATGTATTTACTAGTCGAACTGTTAAGGCGAAATTGAGATTTGTTGGTTGGTATTCCGTAAATGACCCTGAAGGCCGCCGCCTTTTTAACATCAATCAGTCTTGTGTTTTGTATCCACAAGATGATGAGTGAGATAGAATAGCAGCGGTGGGAATAGATTTTGGCTACAGGATTTCATCATGAGCTGACATTAGTTAGAGAACCATTGGAAAACAAGCTGAGAGTACCGGACAGCTGTTTCGTCCTAGTTTGGGACTCTACAGCAGTACGCACTCACCGGGATTCGAACCCAGGACCTTCTGGTTACAAGGCGAGCTCGTATACCATTAAGTCACTGGGACCCGATCCAATGGTCCATGAATTCTAACTTTTGCTAATTCACGACATAGCGCGAGCCCTAGTCAATGTCTTCAGCGAGTATTTGTCCTCACGCCCGACCTGCTGCACCCTACTGGTCACGACTTCTCACTAGAACCCCAGGTGACTACCCACCTGAATAGGGCAAGTCGCTAGTGAGCATTTTATTGATTTCCAAGTGTTGGTTTGTAGGGATTTGAGTTCAGATGTGTTCACCCACCGCCAATGTTCGAACCCAGGACCTGGTTTACAAGGCGAGCTCGTAGACCATTAAGGCACTGAGACCCGATCCAGTGGCCAGTCATGGACCATTGGATCGGGTCCCAGCTCATGATGAAATCCTGTAACCAATCAAATCCCTACAAACCAACACTTGAGAATAGATTTTGTTTGTCCTATACTTAACCAATCAACCAACCACTGTGCAGGGTGGGTGATGTTCGGAAATTCGACGACAAACACTTCTGATTGTACAGCCTATGCGAGTAACTGGCTCCGCAGGAGCAGTTAAATTAGTAGATACACATGGAAGATGCGTGGTTTGAATGATCCTGAATTTTTGTGGAATTTTCCTAATTCCAGTTGATATTCTATTCGCTATTATGTCTTAATTATTATTATAATTAAAGCATCTTTAATGAACTGTGGTAATTCCATTGTGATCTTACTTTACAAATCGATATTACTATTTGAAAAGCACATTAATATTGTTATTGACTACTAATCTAGAATATTCTATGTATATAAATAAACATGCATATATAGATATAATTGTAGAGCGAGAAGAGGAGGAATTTATCGAAAAGGATATTCTTTGCTGGCTCAATTATATTTTGTGTTTTATAAGATATTAGTTGATGCCAGTTATAATCCGGAAATTTTTAAAAATTGTATACAAATATTAAATTTTCTCTTTACGATGTGTGTGTATCGTCTCTCTTAATCTTAATCTCTTTTTGTTTTGTATGTTGTCGTTGTTTATTCAGTGAATACATTAACAGAAGAGGAGAAATCTCGGATTATGTCATCTGAGTCGTTCTTACGCTTCTTCCAGCGTTCTTCACGTATTGTCGAACGAGTGTTATCGCGTAATGAAGATCTTTTTGAAGAGTATACCGGTGAAGATCACGAGGCGAAAGAGTAAGTCGTTTCTGTGTTGTTGTTGTTGCTGTTGTTGTTTTTTTTTTTACATCTAACGACTATTGCCTCCTACCTTTGATGATATTGTTGTTGTTGTTTGCGCATACATTTTGTGCTTATTTATGTCACAGATAATTCTTATTTTATATAATACAGCATTCATATATGTGTAAAACTTGGCCACTGTGGTGGTGGTAGTAAGTAATTCCATATTAGTTTGTTTATTAGATATATCACACAGTGAAACAGTATTATTTACTGGATGACACAGTTTCGAACAAAATTTATTACTGTTCATAATCATATCGTCAATTATAATCACACGACTTTGAGACTTGAGTTTTGTAGTTTTCTTTGTTCTCCCCTGTTTGTCGTCGTAGGCATGGTAGTAGAATTCTCCAGATATCTGGCTGGACAGGTGTTGAATCATTCCTATCACACGTATTTGTAGTTGATTCGATAAACAAAGCTTCTGCTATCAATCTCTCCCTCCATCCACCCTGTGACATTATATTTTAAAACTGTCATCCTATCCCATCCTATTGTATGGTTGCGTGTGTAATTGCATGTAGTGCATGCGATAGCTGCTAAACTATTCTCTAGATTTCTTATCTTATTCAGGTCAACCAATCTAGATTATTCTGCTAGAGTTTTATGCTGCTCGGCTAGTCTGACTCACTGACTGACCCTGTTCTACTACTTTGACCTATGTATTTGACCTGACAATCATCGCAGGCAGTGTATCAGGTATACTAAATTGTTTTGTCAGTTAAAGGCTCCACAGGATTGATCGTTTAATCGACATAGCTTGTTTCTAATTGAGTTTGTGGTTGGTTTGAATTCCAGCAGCCACTTTTATTCCTGTCAGCCTTGTTTAGAATTCTCCACTGTAAGGTGGTTTCCTAGGTTCCTTCCTTGTATGGAATTACTACTGATGATTTCGATTCCTTATTGTTGGTGTTGTCATCATCTAATGTAACAGGAAGCTTTGTTTATCGAATCAACTGCAAATACCTGTCCACGCAGATATCTGGAAAATTCTGCTTCTCCAATCACGACAAATAGGAGAGAACAAAGAAAACTATAAAACTCAAGTTTCGAAGTCAAGTGTGATTATAATAATTGGTGATGTGCATGATTATGAACAGCAATAATAATGATGAATTGTGTTCGAAACAACTTTGTCATTCAGTAAATACTAACACTGTTTCACTCGCTGACTGTGTATGATAAATCCATCTAATAAAAAAACTAATATGGGATTACTTACCACCACAGTGCCCAAGTTTTACACATATATTAACATAATAGGATCTCTAAAAATCGTTTTGCAGCGATTACAATGTAAAAGTAGTTAAAGTAGTATTTGAACCTACCACAAAAGTTTGTATATGACCGATACGCATTATTATTTATTTATTTATTTTAGGCAATAGGTCCCGGAACAGTCTGTAATACTACTTACTGTTTTAAGTGCCGAATGTTTTGAAATTCCCTGAATCTGTGATTGCCTTCAATAGATTTTGCCAGCTAGGTCGAGAAAACTTAAAAGCACCACAGAGAGCTTATTTTATATTCGCTTAAGACACCTACCTAAGTGCTGATATCGAATATGAACCACTCAAATCCTGTTGCATATGTAAATTGGTTTGCAAATTCTACGAAACTGGAAAACTTCTTGTCTTTATAATTGTATTTAGATAGATATTATCTCATTGACAACGATTTTGAGCCATGTCACTTATTGTCTGTCTCCAGCCATTGATTCTTAGAGTCCCGAGGGTGGGCCCCAACCCGGAAGTCTGCATCTCCCTACCTGACTGACTCAGTTTAACTGTCAAGGATTTCATGGATTGATGAGGCCATGTTTTTGTTTGGCATGTCACCACTTACTCTTTGTACGAAGGTGATTCGTACAATTGGTAATGAAGTTAAGGTTAAGGTGTAAAGTGTGCAAGTGGGGAGGTAATTGAGAAGACTACGGGATTGTTTGTTGTAGGTGGTTGTGGATAAGTTAGTAGTCGGACATGATATTGAGGAGAGACAGATTTTGTTGTTGTTGTTGTTGGTGGTGGTGGTGTTGAGTGTTTCGACCTGTAGTTATGTGACCGTTGTTGTGGATTCCACAACTTCTCATACTTACTTGAGTTATTTTGTGAGGAGTAAATAACAGAATTTTCTCTCCCTGTAGATGTGATGTGGATGAGAGAAGAAGACGTGAGTCGTTACTGTTTGAGAAGAAGAAGCGATGTCTGGATTTGGAGATTGAAGCTGCGGAAATGAGGGTTGAAAGTATGAGAATGATGAAAGAATATTGGTGTAGGAGGTTGAATTCATTGTCGCAATCTTGAAGACAGAATGAGGAAGGAAGTACGCGTAAATCAGATATCCCTAATTTTTTATTAATTTCGATATTTATAATAAATATTTACATGTATGTATTCACTAATGATGTCTTTTTGAATGAGTTACTGTAGCGTGTAATTTGAAAATAGTTTTGGTGAGTAATGTGGCATGTATTGTGAAAGAGAGCATGTGTAGCCAGCCAGCCAGCGAGCGACTTAGTTGGCTGGCGTCCTCCGGTGTAGAAGGTGTTCTGGGAAATGTGAGTTTGATTTTGTCTACTTATGATGATGGGAGCCAGCCCGACGATGTGGGTGTTGTGAGTGATTGAAATGACGACGTGGGATTTGTTTTGACTGATAGTTGTTGTGCTTGAAACATTGTGTGTGTGTGTGTTTGTGGTTGGGGGGTGGGGTGGGGAGTACAGGTGATGGATTTGTGTTTGTTTTGTGATTTCGATGATTGATAAAATGTGTTTAGGTGAGATTAATCGTACAGTTGCTGTTGTGTTGTTGTTTTTGTTGTTGCATTAATCGAATGGAAATGGATTGTGATGAGGAGAAGAGACACGTTGGTTAACTAACCATCCATGCATCGATGCGTGTATCCTGTGTTAGAGAAATCGGCCTGATGAACTCATGACATTCAGCGTAAACAAGTGAGTAGTGGGTGAAATGTTCATGTTGAAGTGTGTTGAAATAGCAAGACTCTGGATAGAGTCTGTGTTAGTTAGTCAGTTTGTTTAGTAAGCTTTGATTTATCAAATGATAGTTTGGTTAGACATCTGGTGTTTTCTCGTGTGGCTATATGAATGTGAATGTGAATATGTGATGGATGATGGGTTTGAGGCTGAATATACGGAGGTCAATGTATTTTGATGAGATGTTGGTGGAGAATGATTTAAGAGGTTCATGTTCACTGACAATCGAGGTGATAGGATCATGTTCAACTAGGTGTTATAGTGTCATGATGATGAGGGTAGGGTCATGATGCATCGAATCGTTTGTGTAGTTAATAATTCCTGGTCATATTTATTCAGTCAGTTAGACGGATGGATGATTTGATTGGTGTGTGGAGAGCATAGTTGACTACTTTTCTTATTCTGCGTCTGAACCTTCATGACTTGTGTTCGATTTGAATTGTATTCATGCTGATTGTAAACTTGAGATGAATAATGAAAATATGCAGAGAATGTAGAGACGAGGAGGTGGAGGATTGTGCGTGTATGTGTGTGTGTGTACTGCATTCTGTAAGTGCATTAATTGATTGATTGACTGATTGATTGATAAATTGGGAAGACGAAATGTTTGTTCGTAGAGGCGTAAAAATGAAGGATGATGTGATGTGAGGTGATGTGGTGTAGTGTGGTGTGGTGAATTTAGTGAAAGAGCAAGGCAGATCATGCGTGAATGTCATGGCTGAATGGAGTAATTATGAATTTGTTGATTGCACACAAGACTAGGTCTACAATATTGACTGAACTTGTTCCTTTCTCACACAGATCGATGATCAGTGGTTGGTTTAAGCGAATTGCAACAACCTCTGCAATGCATACATTGACACACAACCACACAACAGCATGGTGGGAGACGGTTAAGATTCTCAAAAGTAATCTATGTAGGTGGAGAGAGAGAGAGGTTTATTACTGAATCCTGCCTGGTTCATCCAGTCTACCTACACCCAACACAACACATGCAATAGGAATGATTCATCACTCATATCCGAAATATGGAAAATACCATCACAACTACCAATCAAATCAAGTGAAAAACAATGGAACTATATAAATGAATTTAGGAAGTCGTGTGATCACCTTGATATGATTATGAGCAGCAATAAATTGTGCTTGAAACGTTGTCATCAGTAAACATTACTGTATAACACAACACTGTGAGACTTTATCAAAATAAAATCTTTACCCATTTTGGAATTACACTCTACCACAACCACAGTGCACAAGTTTTATTCTTATATCAATATTTTGCTTCTACGTGTAATTACACACACATAGTGTGGTGAGAGCGGTCTACTAGCCAAGTGGTGGACAGTAATTGAGGTCAATGTTTATGTATCAAATATTAGTCATGTTGTGGTGAGAGATGGTTGCTGGCCAATTAAGTAATGAGGTCAAGGTGGACAGGCGGTTACAGTTAACATATAGATGAACTGACACAGCCACAAGAGATGCAAGGTTAACTTTGTGTGAGAAACAACCAATCAACAGACTGTATTTTCTACTAACATTGACCTTCAATAATGTACATAAAAATCTATAAATACGTGTTGATTTTTCGTAATAAACGATCTGTTGCCTGGCCCTTGTCTTCTGTTGTTACATAGTCACCACATGTTGAAGGTTTAGAGAGTGTATAAATGATCGTTACATTCAAAAATATATATATATATATATATATATGTATTGGTTTGGTAGGGATTTTGTTTAATTGTATGGAGGATTTCATCATGAGCTGACATCAGTTAGAGAACCACTGGAAAACCAACCAGGGAGTACTGGACAGCTGTTTCGTCCTAGTTTGGGACTCTTCAGAAGTACGCCCCCACCGGGATTCGAAACCAGGCCCTTCTGATTACAAGGCGAGCTCGTAGACCATTGAGCCACTGGGACCCGATCCATTCAAAAATGCAACACACAAGCT